TGTCAAATATTTGGGGCTTTTCCAAAGATCTTTGTTATTGATTTTTAAAAAAATATTTTATTGTGTTTAGTAAGTGGCAAATTGCAGTGACTCCAAGTTCACTAAAAAGTCTACACAGCAAATTAGGTTTCCATTTAACAATTTCTGCACATATTATTCAGTGACATGGGTTACACTTTCCACATCTGTCAACATTTTCATTATTTCCTTTCTGGTTGTTCTGTTTCCATTAATCTAGTTTCCCTGCCCCACCCACACCTTCTTATCTTTGCTTCAGGGTAAATGTTGACCATTTGGTCTCATATAGATTTTTTTTTTAAAGGATCATAGTACTGAGAGAAGATTATTCTCTTGCTCTGAGTTTCTCTCCAGGTATCAGCAAAATGTTAGATTTTCCTCACTGCATAATCCATTTATTAATTTCTTTACCTTCAGCTATTATTTCTCCTTCCTTCCATTTGTCCTTTATTTTTACTCAAACTTATCCACCTTGGGAAGGGACTTCAGATTCAGCTGCTGCGTTAGTCCGGATTGCTAGTAGCAAGATCAGTCTAGCAAATGGGTCCCCTTCAGTCCATTCCCATTCATGCTGGGTAAGGTTACGTAGGTACAACACTAGTGGGCTATCTCTACCAGTAGAAAATATAACTCCAGTTTTGCCAGATGAGGGGAAGGTATAATCCATCCCATCAGGCCCTTGAGAATGCTGGTGTACAGATTCAGGGGTATAGTTACAGTTTCTTACTTAGGGATCACCCCTGCTTCCAGCACCCACAGTTGCATCCATGGTCCTGGGACCACAGCATCCGGCAGGAAAAAAAGCAATTTTGTTGCTGTGGGTAAGAACTGTACAGTGGCACCAGCATCCTCGCCCACCCCCTCTTCCCCAGATCCCCCACAGAAGCGTAGGAATCTGTCCAGTGGTGATCCTCCCTTTGCCCCCTGTCATGGATTGAATTATATCCCCCAAATGTGTGCCAACTTGGCTAGGCCACAATTCCCAGTATTGTGTGATTGTCCACCATTTTGTCATCTGATGTGGTTTTCCTGTGTGTTGTAAACCCTACCTCTATGATGTTAATGAGGCAGGATTCAGTCTACAGGACAGTTTGTATGTTGAGTCAATCTCTTTTGAGATATAAAAAGAGAATTGAGCAGACAGGAGAGGGACCTCCTACCACCAAGAAAGCAGCCCTGGGAGCAGAGCATGTCCTTTGGACCTGGGGTTCCTGTGTG